TCTCGACGAGACAGTCATTGAGCGCTGCTTCAAGGGCACTGCTTCCCGTATCCAGGGCTCCACTTTCGAGCTCATTGCTGAGGATGGTTTCCGCTTCCACGAGCGTGGTTTCCCCTCTCGCTACACCGTTGGTGTCTCTGGTCTCCCTGAGTCTGGCGAATACCACTGGCGTGACGGTGGTGAGGCTCACATGAATGACCCTACCTGCATTGCCAACATCCAGGATGCCGTTCGCACCAAGAACGACAAGTCCTACGAGGCCTACTCCAAGTCCCAGTACGAGCAGATCAAGGCTTGCACCCTCCGCGGCATGCTTGACTTCAAGTTTGAAGACTGCACTCCCGTCCCCATCGAGCAGGTTGAGCCGTGGACCGAGATTGTCCGTCGCTTCTGCACGGGTGCCATGTCTTACGGCTCCATCTCCATGGAGTCTCACTCCACCTTGGCTGTTGCCATGAACAGACTCGGCGGCAAGTCCAACACTGGTGAGGGTGGTGAGGATCCTGAGCGTTCTCAGCGGTTGGCCAACGGTGACACTATGCGCTCTGCCATTAAGCAGGTCGCCTCTGGCCGTTTCGGTGTCACCTCTGCCTACCTTGCCGACTCTGACGAGCTTCAGATCAAGATGGCCCAGGGAGCTAAGCCCGGTGAGGGTGGTGAGCTTCCTGGACACAAGGTGTCCAAGTCCATTGCTCGTACTCGTCACTCCACCCCTGGTGTCGGTCTCATTTCTCCTCCTCCCCACCACGACATTTACTCCATTGAGGACTTGAAGCAGTTGATTTACGACCTCAAGTGCTCCAGCCCTCGCTCTCGTGTCTCAGTCAAGCTCGTCTCCGAGGTTGGTGTCGGTATCGTCGCCTCCGGTGTCGCCAAGGCCAAGGCCGACCACATTCTGATCTCCGGCCATGATGGTGGTACCGGTGCCTCCCGCTGGACTGGTATCAAGTACGCCGGTCTTCCCTGGGAGCTTGGTCTTGCTGAGACTCATCAGACTCTGGTCCTCAACGACCTCCGTGGTCGTGTTGTTGTGCAGACTGATGGTCAGCTCCGCACTGGTCGTGATGTTGCCATGGCTTGCTTGCTCGGTGCCGAGGAATGGGGCTTCGCCACCACTCCTTTGATCGCCATGGGCTGCATCTTCATGCGCAAGTGCCACCTGAACTCCTGCCCTGTCGGTATTGCTACCCAGGATCCTGAGCTTCGCAAGAAGTTCACCGGTACTCCCGAGCACGTCATCAACTTCTTCTACTACGTCGCCAACGAGCTCCGTGCTATCATGGCCAGGCTTGGTTTCCGCACCATCAACGAGATGGTTGGCCATGTTGAGGTTCTCAAGGTTCGCGATGATCTCCGCACGAAGAAGACCTCCAACATCGACCTCTCCCTGCTCCTGACTCCCGCTCACAAGCTCCGCCCGGGTGTTGCCACCTTCAACGTTCGCAAGCAGGATCACAAGCTCTACGTCCGCTTGGACAACAAGCTTATCTCGGAGGCCGAGTTGACTCTGGACAAGGGCCTGCCTTCCAGAATCGAGTGTGACATTGTCAACACCGACCGTGCCATGGGTACCTCGCTCTCGTACCATATCTCCAAGCGCTACGGCGAGGATGGTCTGCCTCTGGACACCGTTCACGTCAATATCAAGGGCTCCGCTGGTCAGTCCTTCGGTGCGTTCCTCGCTCCTGGTGTGACCCTGGAGCTTGAGGGTGATGCCAACGACTACGTCGGTAAGGGTCTGTCTGGCGGTCGCTTGATCGTCTACCCTCCCCGTTCTGCCGTCTTCAAGGCCGAGGAGAACATCATTGTCGGTAATGTCTGCTTGTACGGTGCTACCAAGGGTACCTGCTTCTTCCGTGGTGTTGCCGCTGAGCGTTTCGCTGTCCGTAACTCCGGTGCCACCGCCGTCGTCGAGGGTGTCGGTGACCACGGTTGCGAGTACATGACTGGTGGCCGCATCGTCATTCTTGGTAGCACTGGTCGCAACTTCGCTGCCGGTATGTCTGGTGGTATCGCCTACGTTCTCGACATTCACAAGGATTTCCTCTCCAAGCTCAACACTGAGATGGTTGAGGCCGAAGCCGTCGAGGAGCCCACTGAGATTGCCTACCTGCGCGGTCTCATCGAGGACCACCACCACTACACCGGATCCGAGCTTGCTGCCCGCATTTTGGTCGACTTCAACCGCGCTCTGCCCCGCTTCGTCAAGGTCATGCCCGTTGACTACAAGCGTGTCTTGGCTGAGGAGGCCGCCAAGGCTGCTGAGGCCAAGCGTGCCGAGTACAACCTTCCCGTCATCTCTGGCGTTCCCGCCAAGAAGGAGGAGAAGGCCGCTAAGCTCCAGGACATCGAGGAGACCATTGGCGACAACGCTGCCGAGAAGAAGCGCGCTCTCGTCCTCGACAAGACCAAGGGTTTCATGAAGTACCAGCGCCGTGCCGAGAAGTACAGGAACCCCAAGACTCGTACCAAGGATTGGGCCGAGCTTTCCTCCCGTCTCGACGAGGATGAGCTCAAGTACCAGTCTGCCCGTTGCATGGACTGTGGTGTTCCCTTCTGCCAGTCAGAGACGGGTTGCCCCATCTCTAACATCATCCCCAAATGGAACGAATTGGTCTTTCAAAATCAATGGCAAGACGCTCTCAACCGTCTTCTCATGACCAACAACTTCCCCGAGTTCACTGGTCGTGTCTGCCCTGCTCCTTGCGAGGGTGCCTGTGTCCTTGGTATTAATGAGGACCCCGTTGGTATCAAGTCAATTGAGTGCGCCATCATTGACCGTGGTTTCGAGATGGGCTGGATGATTCCTCGTCCTCCGGATGTCCGCACCGGCAAGAAGGTTGCCATCATCGGTTCCGGACCCGCCGGTCTGGCCGCTGCCGACCAACTGAACCGTGCCGGCCACACCGTCACCGTCTACGAGCGTGCCGACCGCCCCGGTGGTCTCCTCATGTACGGTATTCCCAACATGAAGCTTGACAAGCGCATTGTCAAGCGCCGTACCGACTTCATGGCAGCCGAGGGCGTCAACTTCAAGTGCGGCGTTGCTGTCGGCGAGGACATCCAGCTCATGGACCTCAAGGCTGAGAACGATGCCGTTGTCATCGCCACTGGTGCCACCGTCGCCCGTGACCTCCCTATCAAGGGCCGTGAGCTCGAGGGCATCCACTACGCAATGGAGTTCCTTCACAAGAACACCAAGTCCCTCCTCGACTCTGAGCTCGCCGACGGCTCTTACATCTCCGCCAAGGGCAAGGACGTCATCGTCATCGGCGGTGGTGACACCGGTAACGACTGTATCGGTACCTCCGTCCGCCACGGCGCTAAGTCCGTGATCAACTTCGAGCTGCTGCCCCAGCCTCCCCCGGAGCGTGCTCGTGACAACCCGTGGCCCCAATGGCCCCGCATTTACCGTGTGGACTACGGCCACACTGAGGTCAAGCAGCACATGGGCAAGGACCCCCGTGAGTACTGCATCATGTCCGAGGAGTTCGTCGACGACGGCTCTGGCAAGGTCAAGGGTATCAACACCATTCGCGTTGAGTGGACTCGCTCCGCCTCTGGTGGTTGGGACATGAAGAAGATCGATGGCTCTCAGCAGTTCTTCCCTGCCGACCTCGTCCTCCTGTCCATGGGTTTCCTCGGCCCCGAGGCCCGCATCCTCGGTGACGACATTGAGAAGGACGCTCGCAAGAACGTTAAGACTCCTCCCGGCAAGTACAGCACCAACATTCCCGGCGTCTTCGCCGCTGGTGACTGCCGTCGCGGCCAGTCCCTTATCGTCTGGTAAGTTAAATCTCGTCCTGCATCCAGGTCAGTCTCGATCAGTCAGCTAACAAATCTGCAGGGGTATCAACGAAGGTCGCCAGGCTGCTCGCGAGATTGATCTGTTCCTCGAGCAGTGCACCAGTCTCCCCGTCACCGGTGGTATCGTCAAGCGCACCGCCGGCGAGATCTTCAGCCGGGTGAAGCCTGCTCAGGCTTAAACTCTCCCCAAAAAGCATAAAAGTTGACGCAGTCGTTGAATTTGAGGAGTACGAAGAAATGATTCAGAATGACCGCGAGGTCGGGTGGCACAACAGCGGCGCGGAAGCGGGAAACCGGAAAGGGTTCTTTCATGATACCCGATTTACTACAAAACATGCCTTTTCAGCGATCCTTTTCGTGCGGGAATGTTTTCCTTTGGCTATTAGAGTGGTTGTTTGGATTATACCATATTTGTACATATCTGAAATATTAACAGTGTGCATACATACGTCCTGCTGGTTACTCGTGACTTTTGACGGTGTGTTTCTTGAAACCTGGACTCAAATTGCGAAAAATACGGGAGCTCTTGTTAACGCAGTACTGGATACTAACGCTTCCGAGAGAGGATTGTATCCACGGCAAGTTCTCTTGAACGAGAGTGGCATTGTCGTCGTCGTCGTCGTCGTCGTCGTCGTCGTGCTTATTGTCGCTAATGTAGTCTCCTCTGCCTACGTCGTCCTCAATCGAACTATAGCATTGTGTTCACTAAAAAGCAGAGCCAAAGGACTAACAACTTGGATGCCGACAGCATTTTTAAAAATTTTGGGTCTGATGAGGGCAGCGGAAGCTCATCCCGATCCCGATCCCGTGTTACTCTCTCAAGCGATCCAGCTCACGCCCTCAAGGTGTCGTTCACCCTAACACAACAGAGAGCCCGCTCGCGAGTCAAGGCAACTCTCACCGCGGCGATTCAGCCCCAGTCTGATGGCAACTCTCCCCGACAAAAAATACCATCAAAGAGCCCAGACGACTTACGCCGCTGGCCCACCTCCCATCGTTTGCTCACGGATCCGAAGCCCACGCCGTAAGCTTATCGGGTGCATTCGCGTTGGGGGCCATGTACGGCCATGGAACCCACAAAGCCCCATAGCGTCCTCCCTTGCTAGCCCCCGTCCTCCACCATCATGGCCATGCCCGATTGAGCATCGCGGGGTATCCTATCTAAGATGACTGTTTGCCTCCTGAGTCATCAATCCGGCATAGTGTAATGGTTAACATACTCCGCTTTCATCAGATCACATCTGAAGATCCGGAGAGCTCCGAGTTCGATTCTCGGTGTCGGAAAACACATTTCTTTTTGCAATTTTTTCGCATTGACATTAAAATCATCAGTCTCGAGGGTGTTTAGTCGAGCGCTTTGGATGCTTTTGAAGACCAGCACGGGTGGAGTGCCAACACATGTGGTTTGATGTATCCGAGTGTCCTCTGATGATCAGTGCTTTGAAAAGTGAGTTGATTAAGGATGATGGTGGTGGGTTTGGTGTTGGTGATTTCGCCAATCTCCATTATGGCCATTGATCATAACTGAAGCAGAAGGGAAGCTCCTAATGATCGTGGTCTTGACACCGAACCAATCCATGTAATTTCGTAAGTTGATCCATAACAACATCCCTAGGAAAATACAAGATCGTAAGTATAAGCGCGTATTTCCCTGCTTGTATTTTGTCTCAAGGTATTGAAGAAGGCTGAGTAAACTACAGCTAATGGTATTCTTCCGAGAAATCACCTGTTGTGGGGACTTCGCGAGACCGACTTGCTCTTTTTTTTTGCCCGTGACTTATCCTGTCGCGTTTGTATGTCAAGGTTCGATACTATGGTCATAGAATAGAGAACTTGCCGCTGTGCCTCTCAGAAGCCTAGCGCAGCTGCAAACCCAGAACGGGGTGATCCAAGGGCTTTCGATAGTAATTTCAATAGCCTGTACTGTTTTTCGAACAGCTCACCGACCAAACCAAAAGATCGACTTACCCATTCCCGCTCACCATCATAGCATGCTTCTCAGCCAAACCACCCTATGATAAAACATGTTCCGCCATGGACACCATCAAAAATTGAAAGCTACAAAATACGGATGGTAGACAACACACACACACACACACCCACACACACACACAAACACAGAAGGAGGAGGCAGATTTAGACTCAAAGCTTACCAGCCGCGTGTGATTCAGCCACCGAAAGATATCATGTAAGCTTCATCTGAACGCTTCCTACCGCGCTTGGTAGATATCGTTGGTTTGGTGGTCGTGTCGGGGGGTGCAACCGGATCACCGAATGGCATGCCTTATTACAGTCTACGCCTTCCTGTGCCTCGAGGTATCAAAAGCAACGCGGTCCAGCTTTGGGCGTAGGTTTGCAGAGGCGAGGCTCTCACCAACACCACGTTAGAGACTATCCAGCGAGGCGACGTAGACCGGATGAGAGGCATCCGCCATGCGAGTCCGAGGCAGACGGTGGGATAGCAGGTTCGCCTCGGGGAGGTCGAGCCTCGTCTATTCCATAACGTACCCAGTATCTCATAGATACGATCCGGCCGCACTTCGCCGAACACACCCAGGGCTACGTTGAGTTCCGTAGGTCTAGTGACTTTCTGCTCTAGAAGTGATTTTCGCGACCGCTACACCTTGGGTATAAGAGGGCGCTTGTTATATAGCTCAGTTCAAGGCATGAACTGCATGCTTGATACTATATCTGAGGGCATGAACTTGGCGGCATGTCGCTGAGCTGTGAATCCCCACCGGAACAAGCTCCGGGCAAGCTTGGGTCATGGCAGAGGGGAAAAGAGACCTCCGGGCGAACCTCGTGAGCTGAGGGGAGCGGACGCAGCACATGCGAGAATTGCTATTATCGTCAGTAAGGTAAAGCTCAGGGTCCAAGTGCCTGCCCACCGGTTATCTAGACTGCGTTGCAAAACGAGCATCCTGGAGGGTCCAGTGCGCACAGAGAGTTGCGCTGATGTTCAACCCAGGTTAATTAGCGTGTAAGCCAGCCGCGGATTTCGGGGCTGGTCTGGGGACTTTCAAGATTATCTCCAGCAATAAATGCCAACTTCGATGATGCCCATATTCTTCGGTTCTTGAGAGTGAACAATAGCCTTGGGCGACGTACTCTATCGGGGACATCAAAAGGACCGTCCAAATATGCCGCAGTAGTGTGCAGAGCTATTAAGCGACGCCAACTCGCGGTTGAGCATTGGAGGTATACCAGACCACCGATATGGGCTTTAGAAGATCAGCATCCAAAATACCATGGACCCTGAACCTAGCTGTCACACCACCTGAGCGACAGGTCGAAACACCAGATCCAGAGTTACACCAGGAACATCCATCAGATCGAGGAACCGGTCAGGCCACTGGTCCACTGAGGGGAGTCACATCGTTGGGTCGCAAGAACACGTCAAAGTCAGACGCGTATATTAGCCGCGGAGTTAATATTTGGAGATGGCGAGGGGCAGAAGATTGCAGTTGTCCATGACATAAAAGCCGTTCCTGATAGTCTGAGGCAATGGACGTAGGGCGGCTTGGGCTATGCGGACGGGGCGGGAGTCGGAAGTGTCGGATGTTGGTTTCTGGGAGCGAGAGAGTTGTAGTCCGGTGGCGGGCATCCGAGTGAGTTTGGACGGATGGCGGGTATCGCGACATGGAGGTTGACTCTGGGCCGTTGTTTCGTCCGTGATGGCTGTACCTGAGCGGTCTGCGCAGGTCTGGGGAGGAGGTAGGTAGAATGCTGGAACCGGCTCCGAAGACTGAGGAGGAAGACTGATTGGCTAGGCGGTGGTTCAGCGAGACGGGGGCTCGATCTCGATCGAACAGTGGTTTATCGGTCGTCGAACTCCCAGAGTGGCATCGGACGGTGGATTCGATTAGTGACGTGCATGGACGAGGGTGAGAAGAGACCAGGCAGGGCGGTTTGTTGTTGGCGGTAACGTTGGCCAAAGCCAGGGTTAGGGTCCCAATATCGGGAGTGAGCCGGGTGTCATGTCATCCAGGCCATGGGGCAGAAATAAGAAAAGAAGGCCAAAAAATGAGAGACGAAGAAGCTCGGGTAGAAGCCAGGCCCTCAAGTTGGTGGTATGCGAGTCAGAGAACGTGGAGAGCACGGGATGACATACGACGTGGCAGGTTTGGATTTCTTGCATGCCGGTAAGGGAGACTGGGGTGTTCCTTCCTGGATGGCCGAAGATGCAGGCTCTCCCATTCTTTTGGTTTCGGTCGTTGCGGCGCCGCGTCCCATCCTGCAGGCGCTGCAGCATGCTTTTGGCCACAGCCACCCGATGCTGATACCCCTCGCCATACTTGTTGCTGAATGCTGCTGTAAAAGGATAACTGCAGCTGTTCAAGCCACCTTTCCTTAGGTACTTGAGGCGATTCAATGTGGGAAATCAACCGCGGAAGGTACCGCCCTGCTTGAATGAAAGTGAGGCAGGCAGCACCCACAGCATTAGTGGCACCTGCCGGTCTGGCTAGCCCACCAGCACCGGGCCAAGACAAGGAAGGCAGGCCGTGTTGGCGGCGATGGAAGGCGTAGAACGAACTATGAAGCAAGGGACCGACGACTAAGAAACGAGAAACAGCGAGACCTGCTGCAGCAACGCGACGTGGAACCGCAACTGCACCTGGCGATTGCGACTGCTACTGCTACTGTACTGCAGCCCTGCTGAGAAAATTTGACAGGACAGGACAGACTGCCATTGCACCAAGTACCTGCACTAATAAGAGCCTGGAAACGTTCAATGGAACCTACCTTACCTCACCTTACCTCACCTCACCTTGGGCGGTGCAGCATTCGGGTTCTAAACTGGCCCCATTCAGTCCCTTCCTCTTCCGTACGAATACCGTGCCGTGCCTGCCTTACCTGTCCACCCACCACTATCATCACCACCACCACCACCACCACCACAACGACGCCTGTCCACGTCCCGCATTCGCCCAAACCCAAAAACCCGCCCAAGAGACCCGCCGCCGCCCGAGCTCACTCCGCCATCTCATGCCGTTGCGACACGTGAACGACCACCTTGGATTGAGGTGAGCGCCATCACTGGTTCATATTTCTCAACTCAATCTTACGACCTTACTGAGCACTCTGTTGCGTACGGGCCACTGCATTTCTGTTCTGCAGCAGTCAACGGTTACGGTTACGGCTACGATTACTCCAGCCCGTCCCACGGCCCTTACCCCAACTCTACCTGACCTTCCCTTGTCGTTCTCGACTTTGAGATGCATCTCTGATTTTCGGACAACTCACGGACGTTCACACACAGACACCCGTTTCTCATCCCTCCGACGACAACGGCTGGGCTTGATTGATCCATCCTCGCCGTCACTAATAAACAACCACCGCCTCGGAATCCCAAAAATGCGTCAATCGCTGCCTTGAGCCCCAATATCCTTATCGACCGTCCCGACATTCATTCCTGTCAGACACGAGCTGATGCCGGGCGGCTTGCTCTGTCTGCGACAGGCGCATTCCCCGTGACACACTTGTTGCGCAGCCACGCGACTGACGAATTCACTTACGCTCGCCCTCGCCCGGACCTCATCGCATTCCCAAATTTTGTTCTTCTTTCGCATCGCAATCTTTACCTAGGCCCCCTTATCGGGTTCCTCAATCCTAATTCATCAATGAGACATGGCCGACGTCAAGGAGGGGAGGGATCGAGAAAGCCGACCCGAGAAGAAAAGTTTCTGGGGTAGCATCTTCAGGAACAGGAGCCTCGCGAGGAAGGGAGCACTGGTGCGCTCGCAACCGTCGCGTTCATCGCGCGCTTCACTTCCGCGTTTGCTGGGCTGACTTTATCACAGGATAACCCCGAATCGCGCAGGGCGAGTGATGGAGATGTCATTCCACGGAGGCGTCGGTCGTTACCCGACATGTCCGGCGGCACTAGAACTGTCGAGTCTCCAAACGGCCATCCACCGCAGCCCAGCTCTCGTCGCAGGCCAAAGAGACCTGATCCGGCGCGAGCCAAGGGCAAAGGCCGCGCCCATCCAAACGGCAATATTTTTGAACAGGGACCACTGACTGAATGGCCACCGTCCGGCATGTCAAGTAATGAAGAGCTCACTCTCGGTGATGCTGTCGCCCTCGTATCGCGAGGTGTGCCTGCTCACAAGGGACACAAGCGCCCTGTTCCTCACGCTTCAGATCATTACTACGCTCTCTTTACGACGTCTTCCAACGGAGACAAAACCGAGGAATCCGATGTGGTCAACTTACACGACTCCATGACCCAACTCATGACTCTCCGTATGCAGGGTCCTGGTCTCGCCGATTACCCTTGGGAG